GAGTGTGGGTGAGTGTGCGAGTGAGTGTGTGGGTGAGCGAGCGTGCCCCCACCCGCTCCCCCGAGGCGAGGTCTCTGTGCACGAGCACGGCGTAGGCTGCTAGCGGCAGCCCCTGCTTGACCAGCCGGCGCGCTGCCTGGCAGTGCACACGCAGCACCTCCTGCTCACACGACAGCACCAGCTTCTCCTGCACGCACACACACACACACACGGGGTGGGTGAGTGAGGTGAGTGGGTGGGTGAGTAGGTGAGCAGGTGAATGAGTGGGTGGGAGAGTGGGTGGGAGAGTGGGTGAGTGAGTGGGTGGGAGAGTGGGTGGGAGAGTGGGTGGGCGAGTTGGTGGGTGGGTGAGTGGGTGGGAAAGTGGGTGAGTTGGTGGGTGGGTGGGTGAGAGAGTGGGTGGGAGAGTGGGTGAGTAAGTGAGTGGGTGGGAGAGTGGGTGGGAGAGTGGGTGAGTGAGTGGGAGAGTGGATGGGTGAGTTGGTGGGTGGGAGAGTGGGTGGGTGAGTGAGTGGGAGAGTGGATGGGTGGGAAAGTGGGTGGATGAGTGGGTGAGTGGATAGTGGTGCTAGTGGTGGTGGTGTAGCTGGTGTCCGGCAAAACAACCCCCTTCCTCCTCGTGGTGCCGGACGGGCAACGCTGTCGTGGACAGTGCCGTGGGGGGAGATTCAATTCCAATTGGTCTTTCCCCTCATGGCGTTTGTAACCACCACAGCGGCTAAATGGGGGCTCTGGACGGGTGCGAGAGGCTGGTAACCCCTCCACCTTCAATTCATTACCGCTAAACCATGACCACAACATTTAATAAATAAGCTTGTGCCGGAGGCCCCGGGGGGACAGGCGTCTATGACGTCTCCTGGCCAAACCCCGTTTGGCGGAGCTAGGAGATTGAATCTTTACCCTCGAGGCTCCTCCAGAAACAACAAAAAACCACTACGTGTGGACACGTGGAATTTTAGAACGCTCACTGCAGAAGAGAGGCTGCCACTCCTCTGTCGGGAGCTGGACCGGTACCGCCTGGATCTCTGTGGTATTCAGGAGGTCCGGTGGTCCGGCTCTGGCTCCTGCCACCATGAGGGGTGGACAATCCTCTACTCGGGGCAAGAGACTACTAAACAACAAGGAGTGGCTCTTCTTCTGAACAAGAGAATGAAGGGGGGATGGGAGCGTGGCGGTGAGGTGTGGGAAGCTGTAAGCCCCAGGATACTTTGGGCTCGCATTCCCATCAACCGAGGCGAGGAGTGGTGGTTGTGGTTACTTATGCCCCCACCGAAGACGAACATCCGTGGAGGGATGCAGGCAAGGCCGATGAGTCAGATGCCTTCTATGACCTCCTGTCACAGGTGCTGGCTAAAGTGGCCCCTCGGGATAGAGTCATCTTGTTGGGTGACTTCAATGCCCGAGTTGGTCATGATGCTGGCACCTGGTCTGGAGTGATTGGGAGGCATGGGCCAGATCAGCTCAATAACAACGGTAGGAGGCTGCTAGATTTTTGTGCAGCCCATTGGCTTGTAATTACCAACACGCTGTTCCGGCATCAGCGCATCCACACAACATCGTGGATGCATGTTGGGTCCAAGCAAGAACATCTGCTGGACTACATAGTGACGGAACAGCGGATGCGAGCCCATGTCCTCGTCACCAGGACCTACCGTGGAGCTGATCTGCCCACTGACCATCGACTTGTCATCTGTAAGATGCGCCTGCCATTCTTCCACTCCGGTGGTGGGTGTACACCCAGGACCCCATTCCCACCCTTAGTGGCATGGTCTCAGTTAGCTGATGAATGTTGCAAGCGAGAATTTCATCATCACTTGCGGCTGGGGTTGTCATCGTCCCCCACTCCTGATGTCGAGGGTAAATGGGCGAGGTTTAGGACTGTGGCTCATGCAGCTGCAATTGCTGCTTTGGGTCCCACGTCGGAGAATGAGCAGCCTTCACTTGGAGGTTCGGAGAGCCGTGAGGCGCTGCAAGGATGGGTGGTGGTCGCAGGTTGCAGAGGAGATGGAGTCTGTCCTCAGTGGCCCGCGATCACAAATCGCTCTTTAATTCAAAAAAGTAACCTGCGGTGCCACACTTATAACCATAATTAGGGGAAAGAATGGTGATCCAATCTCCGACCCCCAGGAACAGGTTTGCAGATTTGCTGAGCATTTTTGCGAGGTCCAGGAGAGGAAATTCCTCAGCCTGGAAAACATCGTGGGACAAAGTGGGGACGACCCTGCTGAGGCTGCGGTGCCTCAAATATTGGAGGAGGAAGTCACCCGCTGTGACTGGCTGGCTGAGGTACCATCCGTTGAGGAAGTACTGAAGGCAATCCAGAGTCTGAGACCAGGAAAGGCACCGGGCAGAGATGATCTCCCAAGCGAAATGCTGAGGGAGGGTGGCGTTTGTGCACAGACTGCCCTACATGACATCATAACAACAGTCTGGACCACTGGACGGGTTCCGCAGGATTGGAAGGATGCCCTGGTGGTCCCCCTCTTTAAGAAAGGGGACCGTACCGACTGTAACAACTACAGGGGCATCTCACTCCTCAGTGTGCCGGGAAAGGTCCTGCAAGGATTATTCAACATTGCCTTGCTACGCACGCTGAGGAGAGGCTTGCGGAGCCCCAATGCGGTTTCAGGAAACGGGCGGTCCTGCACAGATGCCATATTTTCTGTCCGTCTGCTACAGCAGAGGTGTAGGGAATTCCCACAAGACCTACATCTCTGCTTTAGTGACCTGGTCAAGGCCTATGATACCATCCGTAGGCCTGGGCTCTGGGTTGTTCTTCGTGCCTTCGGAGTCCCTGACCCTCTGCTCACGATCATTAAGGACCTTCATGATGGTGAGCGGGCCCGGGTAAAACTACGTGGCCGGGAGTCAGAGCCTTCCCTGTACACCTTGGGGTGCGACAGGGATGTCCTCTGGCTCCCACGTTACTTAACATCTATTTTGATTACGTAGTTCGTGAAGCCTTCAATAGCTGTACCGGGGGAATTTCCATCTGGTACAGATACAATGTGAGGCTGATCGATGCCCAGGTGCGGTCAAGGGCTGGCTCCCTATTGGTCAACCATGTTATGTATGCCGACGATTTGGTAATAGCTGCTCATTCAGAGAAGGAGTTGGAGACGCTGCTGCTGAGACTGGAGCGTGCCACTAAGAGGTGGGGCCTTACAATCAGCCCCACCAAAACTAAGCACCTGCCTGGGTATTTTGTACCATCGGACACTCCACCCCCACAACGGTGATAGGGCAGTAGTGGAGAGAGTGGAGAGTTTCCCATACCTGGGCAGTGTACTTATGACCGGCTCCGGTTTAACAGCAGAGGTCTCACTCCGAATCAGTCGAGCGGCAATATCTTTTCATTGGTTGCGTAACGCTGTGTGGAAGCTACCTGGTCTGTCGCTCCGCACGAAGCTTCAGGTCTTCTCGGCCAGTCATTCCCTCCCTTCTCTATGCTTGTGAAACGTAGACCCCCCTAATGGAACATCTTCGCCGGTTGGAAACATTTAGGCTGGCCTGCCTACGATCCATCCTGGGTTTAACCAGGCTGGATTGTGTGAGGAGCTCACAAATCCTTGAAAGATCTGGGCAAAGTCCCATCGGTGAGCTCCTCTGGCAGGCAAGGCTGCGTTGGCTGGGTCATGTAGCCCGCATGCCTAGCCACCGCATGCCTAAACAGCTTTTGTTCGGCCAGATCGAGGGGGCTAAAGGGGCGCGGCACGGACTACAGAAGAGACGGAGTCACGTGGCGGTGGTGGTGGTGGCGGTGGTGGCGGTGGTGGCGCTGCCCCACCCTCTCGACGAGCTGCTGCAGGCGCAGGGCTCTGCGCGCTGCCTCCTGCATGCGGAACAGCTCCTTGAGGGGCTCCGACAGCGACGGCGGTGGAGCAAACTGCGTACACCACGCACACACATACACACCGTGTGTACACCACGCACACACATACACACCGTGTGTACACCACGCACACGCAACGCACACGCAACGCACACACACACACAGTGTGTACACCACACACACAGTGTATACACAAGTACACCACGCACACGGCACGCACACGCAACACACACACACACAGTGTACACACAAGTACACCACGCACACGCCACGCAACACACACACACCGTGTGTACACCACACACAGTGTACACACAAGTACACCACGCACACGCCACGTAACGCACACGCCACGCACACACACCATGTGTACACCACGCACACGCCACGCACACGCCACCATACGCCACGCACACACACGCCACGCACACACACAGACCATGTACATACACTCACACACAGTGTACGCAAACACAGTGCACACACACACACACACCGTGTACACACACCGTGTACACGCACACACACACGACTCACGCGCGCTGGCGCTCACCGTGGGAACCTGCAGGCGGCTGTAGGGCTTGCCGTGCAACACGTAGGCCCCGGTGTGCGTCATGAACCGTGGGTAGCCGTGGGGCGGCGGCGGCGCCGGCGCCACCCCGCACAGCGCCGCCCACCGCTCCTCCGCGCTGCCGCGCTGGCGCGCAAACACGGCGCGCAGCGCGCACTCGCGCTGTGCACACTCACGCTGTGCACACTCACGTAGAGCGCTCTCACGTAGAGCGCTCTCACGCAGAGCGCTCTCACGCAGAGCGCTCTCACGTAGAGCGCTCTCACGTAGAGCGCTCTCACGAAGCGCACACTCGCGGTCGGTACCGCCTGAGTCCCCTCCTCCGCCGTTGCCGGCGCTCTCCGGCCGCCCGTCCTCGGCACGCGCGCCGACGACGCCGGCTCCGTCGGCGTCGCCCGCGGCGCCGGCCGCCGGGGCCCCCCCCTCCCCTTCCTCCTCGTCCGGCGGAAGAATGGCCACCGGCGCCGGCAGCGATTCCGCCGCGAGTTCGTCGCCGGTCGCGACGGCCGCGGCGACGTCCGTCGGGGCGCCGCCGGCCTCCTCCTACGCCGTCGTCCGCGAGGCTCAGCTCCACCTCCCGCTGCAGCGCCGCCCGCGCCGTCTCCTCCAACATCCGCTCCGAGATGACCACGTCGACGGCGTCCGCGTCCGCGGCGGCCGGATCGCGCGCCGGCGACGGTTCCGGCTCGACCCCCGGCACCGACCGCGTGTTGCCGTCCGCCGCCGAAGCGACAGAGCCCCCCGGCCGATCGGCGCGGAGCGGGGGAGCCGCCGCCACCGGGGGAGCAGCCGCGGGCGGTGCCGGCGGTGGCGAGGGCGCCCCCCCACCGGAGCCGCCGGCATCGCTCGCCGGCGCGGAAGAAGCGTCGGCCGCGACCGACGGCTCGTCCTTGGCGGCGTCGCTCCGAACTTCCTGCTCTCCCTCCTCCCCCTCGCTCGCGCCCTGCTGCTGTAGCTGCTGCTGCTGCTGCTGCTGCTGTAGCTGCTGCTGCTGCTGTAGCTGCTGCTGCTGCTGCTGTAGCTGCTGCTGCTGTAGCTGCTGTAGCTGGGCTGCTGCTGCTGCTGTAGCTGCTGCTGCTGTTGGGGCTGCTGCTGCTGTTGGGGCTGCTGCTGCTGTTGGGGCTGCTCCTGCTGTAGCTGCTGCTGCTGTAGCTGCTGGCGCTGGTGGTGGTGCGGCAGCATCGGAAGGGCGGCGGCCGACACGGGCACCGCCGGCTCCTCGCCGCCGCCGTGCTCGCCGGGCGCCGGCTGGCGCTGCGGGGGGGTCGCCCTGCCGGCGCCATCCACCGCTGGCGGCTCCACCGGCGGGTGCCAGCTCGGCGGCTGGTGCTGGGGGTGGTCGTGGTGGTTGTGGAGCTGCTGGGGAGGCTGCAGATGCTGCTTTTGGTGAAGCTGCTGCTGCTGTTGCTGCTGCTGGAGCTGCTGCTGGTGACAAGTCTGCTGCTGCTGCAGCTGGAGCTGCTGCTGGTGACAAGTCTGCTGCTGCAGCTGCAGCTGCTGCTGCGGATGATTCTGCTGTCGTTGCAGCAGCAGCAGCGGCTGCTTCTGCTGCTGATGATGATGAAGAAGAATCGGGCGCTGATGCTGATGGTTGTGCTGCTGCTGGTGCTGCTGCTGCTGGTGCCGTGGCGACGCCACTACCCTGGCGCCCTCCCCACCCGGCGCAAGCGAGGCCGGCAGTCCGCCGTCGCCGCCCTCCGCGGCTTTGCCCGTCGGCGCCGGCTGCTCACAGGCAACCCGCGGGCGCTGAGCGGGGCTCGCCGGCGGGGGCCGCCGCTCCTTGCCGGCGCTGCCGGCACCACCGGCGGCCTGTCCGGGGGAGGGGCGGGGTCAACACCGCGAGTGCGTCACAACGCGGTTGAGCAGCGTCTGGACGCCCCCCCTGACGCTCCAATAACACGCGGCGGTAGCAGCGGCAGTAGCAGCGGTAACAGCGGCAGTAGCAGCGGTAGCAGCGGTAGTAGCAGCGGTAACAGTGGTAGTGAGGCTTTAGCGATCAATATCATCCACAGCAGTGGTGTTATTGTTGGACTAGATCGCGTGAACATGGCAACCCGTTACTCAAATTGGCCGCGTTCAGAGAAATGTCACCGCTGGGTGTTGGCCGTGAGCGGGAATCAGAGGTCGCAAACGCTACTGGGCAGTTGGAGGCAGTCGCCCTCCAGCAACAACGGAGGGCAGAGGAGCGACGCTCACAACAACGAGCGGAGCACCGGGTGGCTAAAGCACAGCGAGTTGGCACAGTAGGGGGCACCGGTGGTGCATCAGCCACTCATCTTAGTCAGTCGACCCGTGGCCTCCTGCCAGCGGGCGTTCGACACTTCACGTGGCATTAACGTGCGCACAGGCACAAGCGAAGCGGTGACATCACCGCCACTTAGTCGGTTGTTGTTGTTGTGTGTGTGCGTTGCTAGGAGGCCCTCACCTGCGCACTGCGTGCCGCTCTCTCCTTGCAGCGAGCCTTCCCCTTGAGGTAGCGGTGCCTCCGCTCCATCTCCATGTCCTTCTGGCTGAGCATCAGCTCGAAGCTGGTGAGTGTCGTCGCCGCCACGCCACCACGGCCCCCGGCACCGCCCCCGGCACCGGCCGCCTCGTGACCCGCGGCCGCCGCTTCGCCCGGCCGCCCCCTGGACTTGCCGCCACCGCCGCCCGGCACCGGTGACTTGCGGCTGCCGGAGGAGCCGTTGCCGCCGCCGCCGCCGGCGGCCGTGGCGGCGCCGTTGTTCTCCTTGAAGGAGGAGGACGACTTACGCTCGTCCTTGGTGCCGCGGTGGGGGGGGGGCGCCCCTCCTCCTGCTCCCCCCCCCTCGCTCCTCACGCCCTCCCGCTCCTTGAGCCGACGACGCCTCTCTCTGTCTTTGTCCCTCTCCATGGCCTTGTCTTTGTCTCCATCTCTCTCTTTATCAACCGTCCTGTCCTTGTCTCTCTCCTTGTTCCTGTCTCTCTCCCTCTCGAGAATCTTGTCTTTGTCCCTCTCCCTCTCTCTGTCTTTGTCTTTGTCCCTCTCCATGGACTTGTCTCCGTCTCTCTCTTTATCAACCATCCTGTCCTTGTCTCTCTCCTTGTTCCTGTCTCTCTCCCTCTCCATAATCTTGTCTTTGTCCCTCTCTCTGTCTTTGTCCCTCTCCATGGACTTGTCTCCGTCTCTCTCTTTATCAACCGTCCTGTCCTTGTCTCTCTCCTTGTTCCTGTCTCTCTCCCTCTCCATAATCTTATCCTTATCCCTCTCCCTCTCTCTGTCTTTGTCTTTGTCCCTCTCCCTGTCTTTGTCTCCGTCTCTCTCTTTATCAACCGTCCTGTCCTTGTCTCTCTCCTTGTTCCTGTCTCTCTCCCTCTCCAGAATCTTATCCTTATCCCTCTCCCTCTCTCTGTCTTTGTCTTTGTCCCTCTCCCTGTCTTTGTCTCCGTCTCTCTCTTTATCAACCGTCCTGTCCTTGTCTCTCTCCTTGTTCCTGTCTCTCTCCCTCTCCAGAATCTTATCCTTGTCCCTCTCCCTCTCCATGGCCTTGTCTTTGTCCCTCTCCATGGACTTGTCTCCGTCTCTCTCTTTATCAACCGTCCTGTCTCTCTCCTTGTTCTTGTCCCTCTCCCTCTCCAGAATCTTATCCTTGTCCCTCTCCGCTGCCTTGTCTTTGTCCCTCTCCTTGTCTCTCGGACTGTCCCCGTCTCCCACCCCGTCTCCCACCTCGTCCCTCTCTGTCTTGTCCTTGTCTCTCACACCGTCCCTGTATAACGTCTTGTCCCTGTCTCCCACCTCGTCTCCCAGCTCATCCCTGTCTGCCACCTTGTCCTGGTCTAATGTCTTGTCCCTCTCTCCCACCTTGTCCCGCTCCGTCTTGTCCCTCTCTCCCACTTTGTCTCTCTCTCCCACCTTGTCTCTCTCTCCCACCTTGTCTCTCTCTCCCACTTTGTCTCTCTCTCCCACCTTGTCCCTCTCCGTCTTGTCTCTCTCTCCCACCTTGTCCCTCTCCGTCTTGTCCCTCTCTCCCACCTTGTCCCTCTCCCGCTCCGCCCCTCCGCTCTCCGCCGAGTCCCTCCTCCTTTGCTGCTCCTTCCACGACGGCGCCGGCGCCAGCGACCGCGCCGTGGCGTCCCCGGCCGCCGGCTCCCGGCCCCGGTGGCCGAGCTTGTGCCGCTTCACCACCTTCCCCTCGCCGTCCACCTTCCCCTTCTCCGTCGGCGGCGCCGCCGGTTCGGCGCGCCACGGCGTTCGGCGTCGCTCCGCCGGCGCCTTGCCGGCGCTCGCCCCGGACGGCGCAAAGAGCGACGGCGCCTCCGGCTCGCTCTCGGAGCCGGCGGACGACGCGCCGGCCTCCGCGACTGCGGGAGCCGCGGCAGCCGCCGCCTCCCCGTCGCCGCCAGGTGCCGAGCGCCGCCGCCGCTTTTGCCGCCGCAGCTGCCGCCGCCGCCTCGGCAGGTGCCGGTCACCCGCCGGCCGCGGCTCCGATTCTGCGGCGCTGGCGGCTCCCCCTGCCGCGTCCTCCTCCTCGTCGTCGTCTTCCCCGTCATGGTCCTCGCCGTCCTCGCGGCCCTCGCCGGGCACGGAGGGAGCGGCCCCGGAGCCGGCGCTGCCGCTCCGGTTCCTTTCGCGAAGCCTGGCCACCGCCGGCATCACGGCCGGCTCCCCGGGCCTCCTCTCCGGAGACGGCGGCCCCTCGGCCCTCCTCTCCGAGGGGGGCGGCACTTCCGGCCTCCTGTCAGAGGGGGGCGGCCCGTGGGACTTCCTGTCCGGGGGGGGCGGCCCGTGGGACTTCCTGTCCGGGGGGGGCAGTCCTCGCAACCTCCTCTCCGAGGGGGGCGGCACTTCGGGGTTCCTGTCGGTTGTGGGTAGCGGCTGCCCATGTGACTTCCTATCTAAGGTGGGTAGGGGCTGCCCGTGCGACTTCTTTTCTGAAGGGGGCGGCACTTCGGGTTTCCTGTCCGAGGTGGGTGGCAGCTGCCCATGTGACTTCCTGTCTGAGGTGGGTAGCGGCTGCCCGTGCGACTTCTTTTCTGAAGGGGGCGGCACTTCGGGCTTCCTGTCGGTTGTGGGTAGCGGCTGCCCGTGCGACTTCCTTTCAGAGGGGGGCTGCCCGTGCAACTTCCTGTCCGCGGAGGGCGGTACTTCTGGCTTTCTGTCGGTTGTGGGTGGCGGCTGCCCGTGCGACTTCCTGTCTGAGGGGGGCGGCACTTCGGGCTTCCTGTCGGTTGTGGGTAGCGGCTGCCCGTGCGACTTCTTCTCCGAGGGGGGCGGTACTTCTGGCTTTCTGTCCGAGGTGGGTGGCGGCTGCCCATGTAACTTCCTGTCCGCGGGGGGCGGCTCGTGTGACTTCTTGTCCAAGAGGGGCGGCACTTCGGGCTTTCTGTCCATGATGGGTGATGGTTGCCCGTGCGACTTCTTGTCTGAAGGGGGCGGCGGCCCATGCAACTTCTTGTCCGAAGGGGGCGGCTCGTGCAACTTCTTGTCCAAGAGGGGCGGCACTTCGGGTTTCCTGTCTGAGGTGGGTGGCGGCTGCCCATGTGACTTCTTGTCCGAAGGGGGCGGCGGCCCATGCGACTTCCTGTCTGAAGGGGGCGGCGGCCCATGTGACTTCCTGTCTGAAGGGGGCAGCACTTCGGGCTTCCTGTCCGAAGGGGGTGGCTGCCCATGTGACTTCTTGTCTGAAGGGGGCGGCACTTCGGGCTTTTTGTCCGAAGGGGGCGGCGGCGGCCCATGTGACTTCCTGTCTGAAGGGGGCGGCACTTCGGGCTTCCTGTCCGAAGGGGGCGGCAGCCCATGTGACTTCCTGTCTGAAGGGGGCAGCGGCTGCCCATGTGACTTCCTGTCCGAAGGGGGCGGCACTTCGGGCTTCCTGTCTGAAGGGGGCAGCTGCCCGTGTGACTTCCTGTCTGAAGGAGGCGGCTGTCCGTGCGACTTCCTGTCCGCCAGGGGATTCCTCTGCGCCGACTTCCTGTCCGGGGGGGCAGGCGGCACCTCAAGCCTGCGTCCCGGCGCGTCCGTCCCCGTGCCGTCGGCCTCGCCGCGCCGGTTGGACTCCGGCTCCTCGTTGCTCAGGGTGTCCGCTGCTTGTGGTGGTGGACAGGCAGCAGCGGGGGCGGGGCAGACAGAAGACCACAGTGACTTTCACACGGCCGAGAGCACCCCGGATACTCGAGGTGAATAATTAACTAAGCATACGGAAGTGTCGGAATGTCGATGTTATACAGGGTGCTTCACTTATATGGGACTTTCGTTTTCAATAGAAAAAAACGGATAATACTACACTGTAAACACGATAACAAATGGACGTTAACAGCTTCGAAAAGTCAGTCTCCCACTTGTTCGCCATCATTGTCAACGCACGCCTGGAATCTTCCCCAGGTGGTCTGCAGAGCCCTGAGGGCACATTTCTTGTGGCGTCGTTGCAAATTCTCAGAAGCGTTAACATTGAGTCAACGGACATCCTCCTCTTCCTCCCCCACCTATCCAACTCCCCCCCTCCTCCCTGCTCAAGCGCGTGTAGGGCAACAACCAGTAGGGGCCCGGCAACGCCCCGACGGGACTTCACAGCCGGAGAGACGATGGTCTGCGCGCCATCGTCTCCTTGCTCCCCACGTTCACACGGCGGAGATGGCGGCACCGCCACTCCACAAAGCTAGCAACTGCGACGCCCCATCGATGCTCGCAAGCGCCAGCAATGACGACGACGACCCTTCGCCACTGAGTGGCGACGAAGTCACCACGGCGCATATGGCTGGCCGTGTGCACGTTGAGGCCACGTGAAGTGTCGAACGCCCGCTGGCAGGAGGTCACGGGACAGACCAGGTGCCAAGGGGTTGACCGACTGAGATGACTGGCCGATGCACCGGCTGTGTCCCCCACTTTGCAAACCCGGCACTTCGCTCGTTGTTGTGAGCGTCGCTCCTCTACCCTCCGTCGGAGCTATCCAGTAGCAGCGTCCTTCACGAGCCTCCTCCACAGAGGCCGATCTTGACACCGCTGGTACCAGTCATTGGCAAGTCCACTCAGCTTCACATCCTCTTGCACCACATCTCTTCTCTAGCCCGTGCCACGCCTGTTTAGCCACCTCTATCAGGCCGAACAAAAGGTGTTTCAGCATAGGCTGGGCCTGTGGTATAAATGACCCAGCCAACGTAGCCTTGCCTGCCGGAGGAGCTCACGGATGGGACTTTGTCCAGATCTTTCAAGGATTTGTGAGCTCCTCACACAATCCAGCCTGGTTAAACCCAGAGTGGATCATAGCCAGGCCAGCCTGAATGTTTCTAATCGGCCAAGATGTTCCATTATGGGGGTCTACGTTTTGCAAATGTAGAGAAGGGAAGGCATGACCGTGGCCGAGAAGACCCGAAGCTTCATGTGGAGCGACAGACCAAGCAGCTTCCACACAGCTTTATGCAGCCGATAAAAAGATAATGCGGCTCGACTGATTTAGAGCGACACCTCTGCTGTAACACTGGAGCCAGTCATTGAAACACTGCCCAGGTATAGGAACCCCTCCACTCTATCCACAACTGTCCCATCACCAATGGGGTAGAGTAACAAATACCCAGGCAGGTGCTGAGTTTTGCTGGGGCTGATGGTAAGGCTCCACCGCTTAGTGGCATGCTCCAGGTTCAGCAGCAGCACCTCCAACTCCTCTGAGTGAGCAGAAGTCACCAAAAGTCACCAGATCATCAGCATGCATAACATGGTTGACCAATAGGCAGTCATCCTGTGACCACATCCGGGCATTGATCAGCCTCCCATTGTGGAAATTCCTCCAGTACAGCTATAGAAGGCTTCACGTGGGAGCGAGAGGACAACCCTGTCGCACGCCAAGATGAACAGGGAATGGCTCAGACTCCCAGCCACGTAGTTTTACCTGGGCCTGCCCACCATCATTAAGGTTCTTAATGATGGTGAGCAGAGGGTCAGGGACTCCGAAAGCACGAAGAACAAACCAGGCCAATTGATCGGATCATAGGCTTGACCAGGTCAATAAAGTAGAGATATAGGTCCTGTTGGACCACCAGGGCATCCTTCCAATCCTGTGGAACCCGTTAAGTGGTCCAGACTGTTCTTATGATGTCATGTAGGGTAGTCTGCGCACAAACGCCACCCTCCCCCAGCATTTGGCTTGGAAGATCATCTCTTTTGTTTTTGCTAGTCTCAAACTCCGGATCATCTTCACTACTTCTTCAACAGATGGTGCTGGAAGAAGTCAGGGGGTGACAACTTCTTCCAATATTTAAGGCACGGCAGCCTCAGCAGGGTCATCCCCACTTTGTCCCATGATGTTTTCCAGGCAGAGGGATTTCCTCTCCCCCAAGACCTCACAAAAATGCTCAGCAAATCTGCAAACCTGTTTCTGGGGGTAGGAGATCGGATCACTTTCATTTCTCCTAATGATGGTGATGTGTGCCGCTGCAAGTTACATTTTTGATGAATGTGATCGCAGGATACTGAGGCAGACTCCATCTCCTCAGCAACCCGCGACCACCACCCATCCTTGCAGCACCGCACGGCTCTAGGAACCTCCGAACGACGGCTGCGGTAAGTCTCCTCATTCTCTGACGTGGGATGCTGCAGAAGAGCCATTCCCTGTTGCTTGGAAGTCTCCTGCCCCGAGTAGAGGACTGTCCACTCCCCTCATGGTGACTGGAGCCAGAGTCAGTCGTCACACCCTCCCCCACTCACCCCCCGCGTGCGTCAAAGACAAATCTTCGTGAGCGTTGGGGGCAATGTCAGATCCCACGCTGGGTGATGTTGGCACAGCAGGTGGGCGAGAGAGATGGGCCTCAGCATCCATCGCTTCCAACAGTTTTCCACACACTCAGCAGGGAGAAGGTAGATGGGCCGTCGTTCCGACAAACTTTCGGGTGAAGAAACTTGCTCAGCCAGTTCGGAGGGGAACGTTGTCTAGACTCCGGTAGGGGGAGCTTTTGCAGGTCTCACGGTTGTTCATGTGCTGAACGTACGATGGGGCCAGCGGCGAAAGGGCTCGTGATCGGCATTGTCCTATTGACGCCGGTAATTTTTCATCGTGAGCGTTGGGGGTTAACACCAGATCCCGCCGCTGGATGTTGTTGACACAGCAGGTGGGCGAGAGAGATGGGCCCCAGCATCCATCCTCAAAACTAGCCGGCGCCCATCGAGGTCCTTCTCCCGCATGCATTTGGGAGTGCGGTGACTTTGGTGGCCGGCGTTACGACAAAATTTCGGGTGAAGAAACTTGCTCAGCCAGTTCGGGGGGAACGTTGTATAGACTCCGGCGGGGAGATTTGCCAGATTTCACGGTTGTTCAAGTGTTGAACGTACGTTGGGACCAGCGGCGAAAGGGCTCATGGATCGGCATTCTGCCTAACACACGCCGGTAATTTTTCATCACGAGCGTTGGGGGGCAACTCCAGATCCCACCGCTGGATGTTGTTGACACAGCAGGTGGGCGAGAGAGATGGGCCCCAGCATCCATCGCTTCCTACAGTTTTCCACACACTCACTCAGCAGGGAGAAGGTAGATGGGCCGTCGTTCCAACAAATTTTTGGGTGAAGAAACTTGCTCAGCCAGTACGGGGGGGGGGGGAATGTTGTCTAGAGCCCCGGCGGGGAGCTTTGCCAGGTCTCACGGTTGTTCAAGTGCTGAACGTACGTCGGGGCCAGCGGCGGAAGGCCTCGTGATTGGCATTCTGCCTCACCCACGCCGGTAAATTCTTCCGTGGCGTACACCGGCACTCACGTGGCCTCGACCCCCGACGACCTGCACAGACCCATCTTCTTGGTTCTTTCGGTAAAGTCACGTAGAAGGGAAGTAATAAAATAATACAAATAAAACATAATAGAACCAAGAAGATGAATCCCTGCAGTCACGAAAGCTTTAAATCGAGACCTGCACAGAGGCGACTCGCAAACTTGATTCGGGCGATTGTTGCAAGCCGGTTAACTGGCGGTCGCTGGGCAGCACCGGCGTGATGGAAGTCTGCGTTGGGTGAGGCTGTGACGTTACCCGCTCCGGGTCAAACGGACGATTCGTTCTTGTCAGCATCAAGAAACGGGGTACCCAGACCCCCAAAAAGGGGTGGGGGCTGGGGGATAGAGGCCAACGGTTCATTTCAGACCCTTCCAGAGACTTCTCTTGGTGGCAACGCGTTCATTTCAATAACGAGAACAACGCCAACAGCCGTAACGCTTACAGCTGTGGCCCCTCTAACACTACGGGGTACGGCCCCGTCACCCGGTAACGTAAGGAAGGTACAACCTCCCTTCTAGCGGGCCCTACACACCCCGGGCTACGCACTCACGGGTCCTCCGCTACGGGGGCTAGGGGAGGCTAGCGAGGGTACGGGTCCCACCGCTGGTCCGCTGCAACGCGGCTCTGACAAGAGCCTCGTCTGAGGGTCCCAGGGTGCTGGTCTCGTCTTCAGGCGTCTTCAGGTCTTGAGTGGACGAAGACTGCCGGTCCCGTTGAGAGGGCCGGCTCTTATACACAAGTTGGGGCTTCCCCCGCCCCTAGCCACAACCTTCTCCAGAACCTTCTAGAAGTCTCTGGAATGAACCGTTGGCCCCTAGCCCCCAGCCCCCACCCCTTGGGGGGTCTGGAGTCTCTCCCCCCCCCCCCGTCACGGGGTACCCAGGGGGGGTGTCTACCCCAGGTCAACCCCCACACCTCCCACTCACTCTCTCGACCGCTCCTATTGGCCTGTGAGGGTGGCGACCATAAGAATACCCGCAGTGCCTTGGTATGGCGCAACAAAAATATTAAACAAGTTTTTTTTCATGATAGTAGGTAAGGCCCCCGACTGGAGCTATACACAGGGCGCTTAAAAACAATGTCAACACTTCTGAGAATGTGCAACAACACCACCCCTGGAGACCGCTTGGCGAAGATCCCAGGCACGTGTCGACAACGATGGCGAACAAACGGAGACTTTATGACTTTTTGAAGCGATTAACATTACATTTGTAATCATGTTACAGTGTATTATCTGTTCTTTTTCCATTAAAAACGATAGTCCCATACTAGTGAGAGTGTGAGAACGAGTGTGAGTGTGCGAGTGTGCATGAGTGTGAGTGTGCGGGCGAGTGTGAGTGCGAGTGTGTGAGTGAGCGTGAGTGTGCAAGCGAGTGAGAGTGTGCGAGCAAGTGCGTGGGCGTGCGAGTGTGAGTGTGCGAGCGAGTGCGTGCGAGTGTGAGTGAGAGTGTGTGAGTGTGCGGTCGAGTGTGAGTGAGTGAGAGTGTGAGCGAAAGTGTACGAGTGTGAGCGTGAGAATGTGAGTGTGTGAGTGTGCGAGCGAGTGTGAGCGAGTGTGAGTGAGTGTGTGAGTGAGTGAGAGTGTGAGCGAGAGTGTGTGAGTGAGTGTGTGAGTGTGTGAGTGAGTGAGTGTGAGTGTGTGAGTGAGTGTGTGAGTGAGGCTAGACGGGCGCGGCACGGGCTGGAGAAGAGATGGAGTGATGTGGTACAGGAGGACGTGGAGCTGAGTGGACTTGCCGATGACTGGTACCAGCGGTGTCAAGATCGGCCTCAGTGGAGGAGGCTCGTGAAGGACGCTACTGGGCAGTTGGAGGCAGTCGCCCTCCAACAACAACGGAGGGCGGAGGAGCGACGCTCACAACAACGAGCGGAGCGCCGGGTGGCTAAAGCACAGCAAGTTGGCACAGTAGGGGGCACAGGTGGTGCATCAGCCAGTCATCTCGGTCAGTCGACCAGTGGCACCTGGGTCTGCCCCGTGACCTCCTGCCAGCGGGCTTTCGACACTTCACGTGGCCTCAAGGTGCACTTGGCCTGGCACAAGCATCGTGGTGACGTCACCGCCACTTAGTGGCGAATGGCGGTTGTTGTTGTTGTTGTTGAGTGAGTGAGTGTGAGTGAGTGTGAGTGTGTGAGTGAGTGTGCGAGTGTGCGAGCGAGCGGGTCTCCCTCACCTCGCGAGGCAGGGGAGTCGTGCGTGCACCCGCCCGAGCTTGCGGATCTGCTGCGCTGCAGAAGCTGCTGATGCTGCAGCTGCTGCTGCAGCAGGAGGGTGAGGGCGGCCGATGGCGACACGTCCAGGGGCCGCTCGCCCGTGCGGTTGGGCTGCGTGGCGTCGCCCCCAAAGTGCAGGAGCAGGCGCACCACCTGCACACAGACAAAGGTGCCCCCGGGTAGCCTCTAGCAGGGTGTAGGGGCAAGTGCTGCTAGTAGCAACGGCAGCACCCTATACACACAAAGCTCCCCCGTGTAGCTTCTAGCAGGTTGTAGGGGCAAGTGCTGGTAGCGAGTAGCAGCAGCGCCCTATAGACACACATGTTCAGTTGTTTTCTCCTTTTCACAGGCCGAGTCACAAACCGTACCTCTCCATAACAAAGGCTCACCCTCTTAAGCCTCACCTTACCATATGAATAAAAAGTGTGCTGCACTTGCCCCTTCCCCCCTCTCCAACCATTATATAAACGGAGTGGTAGCTCCTGCAATCTCTCATTTACTTGATACAGCTGTCGTGGCTGTGACGGTTCCACCTGAAGACGGAAGCTTGTGTTGCCTTCGAAACGTCGTGATTTTTATTTTATTTTACTTTTATAAATTTTAATGTTTTACCTACGTGACTTTACAGAAAAAACCTAAGAATACAGACAAAGCTCCCCGTGTAGCCTCTAGCAGGCTGTAGGGGCAAGTGCATAACTCTGCCAGTAGGGGTAGCGGTGATAGCTGGGGCACCCTCAGCGGCAGCCCCCCCCGCCCCCCCCCGCCCCCCCCCGGCCCCCACCTCGTCGTGGCCATTGGTGACGGCGTCGTGCAGGGGCGTGTCGTCGTCCAGGCCGCGCGTGTTCACCTGGGCGCCCGACAGCAGCAGCAGCTCGGCCAGATCACGGTGGCCACGGTTACACGCCTCGTGCAGCGGGGTCCAGCCTGGGGGGCCGGGGGGGGGTGAGGGGGGGGGCGAGGGGGGGGCGAGGGGGGGCGAGGGGGGTGAGGGGGGGGCGAGGGGGGGGCGAGGGGGGGCGAGGGGAGGGGCCAGGGGGGGACACCGACACACTTGAGACGGAGGTTCGAGAGAAGCTCCAAGGGAGATTTCGTCGGGTTTGACGGCGCCAACACAAACGTCGTTCTGTGTGGCTCCACCACCCCCACCACCCCCTTCCACCACCACCCCCCCCCCCACCCCCCCACACCCCCCACCTCACCAGCGAAGTCTTTCACGTTGACGACTGCCCCTCGCTCTATGAGGCTCCTGGCCACCCTGGCGTCTCCGCGGATGGCCGCCAGGTGGAGTGGCGTCTCCCCACGATCGTTCCGCTTGTTCACCTGGCGGGGGGCACAGCGGGGGGGGGGGGGTGAGGGGGGGCACAGCGGGAGTGGGGGGGCGAGGGGGGGCACAGCGGGAGGGGGGGGACGAGGGGGGGCACAGCGGGAGGGGGGGCGATGGGGGGTGAGGGGGGGCAGGCAACCGAAACAACAAAATTAATGAGTAGAATAAGTTTTATATTTAAATATTTTTTATTGAGGTTTTTGGCTGCACAATACAATGTCGGGACCCTGTAGGCCGGATATATTTTACTGACTTGGCTAATTAATTTTGCTAATTAACTAATTCTCGGCTACTCTGCCACTCAACGTTCCCACTGAACGTTGCCACTCAACTCTGCCACTCAACGTTGCCACTCAACTTTGCCACTCAACTTTGCCACTCAACGTTGCCACTCAACGTTGCCACTCAACGTTGCCACTCAACGTTGCCACTCAACTTTGCCACTCAACTCTGCCACTCAACTTTGCCACTCAACTCTGCCACTCAACTTTGCCACTCAACAGTTGCCACTCAACTTTGCCCACTCAACGTTGCCACTCAACTTTGTCACTCAACTTTGCCACTCAACTTTGCCACTCAACGTTGCCACTCAACGTTGCCACTCAACGTTGCCACTCAACTCTGCCACTCAACTTTGCCACTCAACTCTGCCACTCAACTTTGCCACTCAACGTTGCCACTCAACTTTGCCACTCAACGTTGCCACTCAACTTTGTCACTCAACTTTGTCACTCAACTTTGCCACTCAACGTTGCCACTCAACTTTGCCACTCAACTTTGCCACTCAATTTTGGGCCACTCAATTTTGCCACTCAACGTGCCACTCACTTGTCACTCAACGTTGCCACTCAACTTTGCCACTCAACGTTGCCACTCAACTCTGCCACTCAACTTTGCCACTCAACTTTGCCACTCAACGTTGCCACTCAACGTTGCCACTCAACGTTGCCACTCAACGTTGCCACTCAACTCTGCCACTCAACTTTGCCACTCAACTTTGCCACTCAACGTTGCCACTCAACTCTGCCACTCAACTTTGCCACTCAACTCTGCCACTCAACTTTGCCACTCAACGTTGCCACTCAACTTTGCCACTCAACTCTGCCACTCAACTTTGCCACTCAACTTTGCCACTCAACGTTGCCACTAAACTCTGCCACTCAACTTTGCCACTCAACTCTGCCACTCAACTTTGCCACTCAACGTTGCCACTCAACTTTGCCACTCAACGTTGCCACTCAACGTTGCCACTCAACTCTGCCACTCAACTTTGCCGCTCAACTTTGCCGCTCAACTCTGCCGCTCAACGTTGCCACTCAACTTTGCCACTCAACGTTGCCACTCAACGTTGCCACTCAACTCTGCCACTCAACGTTGCCACTCAACTCTGCCACTCAACTTTGCCACTCAACGTTGCCACTCAACTCTGCCACTCAACTTTGCCACTCAACTCTGCCACTCAACTTTGCCACTCAACGTTGCCACTCAACTTTGCCACTCAACTCTGCCACTCAACTTTGCCACTCAACGTTGCCACTCAACTCTGCCACTCAACGTTGCCACTCAACTTTGCCACTCAACTTTGTCACTCAACTTTGTCACTCAACTCTGCCACTCAACGTTGCCACTCAACTCTGCCACTCAACTTTGCCACTCAACTCTGCCACTCAACTCTGCCACTCAACGTTGCCACTCAACTCTGCCACTCAACTCTGCCACTCAACGTTGCCACTCAACTTTGCCACTCAACTTTGCCACTCAACGTTGCCACTCAACTCTGCCACTCAACTCTGCCACTCAACGTTGCCACTCAACTTTGCCACTCAACTCTGCCACTCAACTTTGCCACTCAACTCTGCCACTCAACGTTGCCACTCAACTCTGCCACTCAACTTTGCCACTCAACTCTGCCACTCAACTCTGCCACTCAACGTTGCCACTCAACTCTGCCACTCAACTTTGCCACTCAACGTTGCCACTCAACTCTGCCACTCAACTTTGCCACTCAACTCTGCCACTCAACTTTGCCACTCAACGTTGCCACTCAACTCTGCCACTCAACTTTGCCACTCAACTCTGCCACTCAACTCTGCCACTCAACGTTGCCACTCAACTCTGCCACTCAACTTTGTCACTCAACTTTGCCACTCAACTCTGCCACTCAACTTTGCCACTCAACGTTGCCACTCAACGTTGCCACTCAACTTTGTCACTCAACTTTGCCACTCAACTTTGCCACTCAACTCTGCCACTCAACTCTGCCACTCAACGTTGCCACTCAACGTTGCCACTCAACTCTGCCACTCAACTCTGCCACTCAACTCTGCCACTCAACTTTGCCACTCAACTTTGCCACTCAACG